CAAAGTGAAGCATATGAAAATATGCTCCACACTTGCCATCAAGGAAATGAAAATTAAAACAATGAGAGACCACTACACACCTATCAGAATGGTCAAAATCTGGAATCTTGACAACACCAAATGCTGACACAGATGCACAGAAGCTGGTAGGAATGGTTGGTGACAATGCAAAATGGTTTGGAAGAATGCTTTGAAAGAGTTTTGCAGTTTCTTGTAAAACCAAACATACTCTTACTATATGATCCAGCTATCATCCTGACTGGTACTTACCCAAAGGAGCTGGAAACTTATGTCCACACAAAATCCTATATGTGGATGTTTATAGCAGCTTTATTCATAATTGCCAAAACTTGGAAACAACCAAGATTTCCTTCAGTGGTTGAATGGATAAATAAACTGCAGTACATCCAAACAATGGAATATTATTCAGCACTAAAAAAGTGAGCTTAAAAAATGATAAAATCACATTCATTTTTAATAATGTCCTTGTTTTCTGGAACAAGACAACCCAGCCTCACCTTATTTATATCCTGTCCCAAACTTGGAATCAGCCATTTCTCCAAAGATCCCTGGTTTCTGTGATGGGAAATAGTATTTAGGAACCACAGTCTAGATGCTAGAAGTACTCGTTGCTAGTCAGTCATCATTGTTTCTAGACATTTTTAGTGGAGAGAGCTAGAAAATACATAACTTTTTAAAAAGTGCAAAAAGGATGAGTTCACACTAATATATTTTTTTAAGATTTTATTTATTTGAGAGAGAGAGACAGAGTGAAAGAGCATGAGAGGGGAGGTCAGAGGGAGAAACAGACTTCCCATGTTGCTGGGAGCCTGATGTGGGACTCAATCCCAGGACTCCAGGATCATGACCTGAGCTGAAGGCAGTCGCTTAACCAACCACCCAGGGACTCCACACTAATATTTCTAATTAAAATTTAAGATTGCAGAGTTGATTCTGCAACCAAAGATTCTGAAGTTTCTGAAATCTAATTGCTTTAATCTGTCATTAGATCTATCTCATAATAGCTGCATTGATATTATATATACAATTATATATATATAATGAGACTAGTAAATGAAAATTTAAGATTTTGTCATAGTTCTTTTTACCCTTAGAGTATACCCTAATAAAGATACAAAGTCAAAATACCTTTTGTAAGATTGGTATCTGTCACCAACTTGATAGTTATTTTCATTCATTTCAATTGGTTTTCAAGTTAGCTGTCTTCTAGTGATGTTACTTAGGTTGTTCCTTTTTTTCCATTTTTGCTGTTACAGACCATACCACAGTGAAATTTTTCTTTTTTTTAAAGATTTTATTTATTTATTTGACAGAGAGAGATCACAGCAGGCAGATCACAAGTAGAGACAGGGTGAAACAGGCTGCTTCGATGCAGAGCCCGATGCAGAGCTCGATCCCAGGAACCTGAGATCATGACCTGAGCCAAAAGCAGAGGCTTTAACCCATTGAGCCACCCAGGCGCCCCACAGTGAAATTTTTTTAAAAAGATTTATTTTAGAGAGAGAGAGAGAGAGAGAGAAAGAAAGAATGGGAGGAGGGACACAGGTAGTGGCAGAGAGAATCCCAGACTTCCCGCTAAGCACGGAACCTCACAAGGGCCCTCATCCCAGAACCCTGAGATCATGACCTGAACCAAAATCAATAGTCAGATGCTCACCTAACTGAGCCATCCAGGCGCACCCCCCCAAATTTTTGTTTTTTTTTTTCAAGAGAACTTTCACTATAGTTTTCTAAAAGTGAGACTATTGGGTTGTATGACCGTATATTCTTATGTAACTTTGCTGGATATTGTCAAAATCTTTTCTAATAAAGTTTGTATCATTTTGCATTCCCTCCACCAATGTACCAAAGGAACCAGCTGGGTAATAAAAGGAAGAGGCTGGGATATTAGAACCTAGAACCTTGGTGACTGAGGAGAGGGTCCTGCTCAGCCACTGCTTAATACCTAGGGAGCTAGGAAAGGGCTTCTGGGAGTCAGAACTCAGATCTCAAAGACAGCTCGTGGCACAGGTGGCTGGGCCTCCCAGGAGTCTGAAGGAGGCTCCCTGAGGAGGTAGGCCTGAGGCCTGTGAGGGGCCCATCCCAAGTAGTGCTGGTATCTCCACGGGGGCGTAATGAGGCCGGTTCTAGGAATGCTAACCCAGCTGGTGACAAACCAGCTCCTGAGCCCCGGAAAATCACCATCGCTGAGGGGACGCTGATAGAAAAAGCACATGAACAAGAAGGAGACCATCCTTTGTCCCTCTTCCTGATTTTGTCTCTTTCTATCACCCCCTGTTGACAGAAGTTTTAAAAGTCAGCTAGCAAAGAGAAAAAAATAAAAAACAACAAACAAACAAACAAAAAAATGTGATTTGTAGAGTTCCAGCATCACACAGCAAATTGTGGAGAGGTGGGCTTGGAGGTGAGAGAGAATGGCCGGCACGTGCCAGAAGGTGGAATTTATTCCGTAAAAGTAAGAATGTTTCAGTATCAACAAATCAGGGAATACAGTTTGTTATATTAATACTTCTAAGGAGAATAATCAAATCCCTTTGTGCGGGGCTATTACGCTATTATATTTCAGCTTCAGGTCCACACTCTAACTGCACTATGTTACGGCCAGGCCTTTGCAAAAGCCCATTTTCTGGCAATAGGAGGAGATAAATGCAAGCTGCAAGTATGGAGGAGGAAAAAGAAATTTGCTCCTTCCTGTTCGCTTCTTGTTCCTGTCGGCATCATCACAGAAATGGCTCACCGCCCTGGCAGGAATAATGGACTTCAGAGCAACGGATGGTTCCAGTCTGTAGCGTTTCCACACTCAGACCAGTCTTGTCACCGCCCGTCAGGGAAACAGCACTAACCCGTGTATACCTTCCCTAGAGCCCTGGAACTCTTCCTCCAAGCTTTTAGGTTTCAATAATTCCATCCTTTTCTTTTTGATCCTCCAGGCCCAGAGGTACCTCCTGTAGTTACTTCCTCTATGACATTCCAGGCGTCCCTTCTGCCTTTTCAGTTCTTGTTTAGTTCTGTACTATATGGCTAACAACTTATAAAATAATTGTGGTTTCTATCTCTCGGCTGGACCCTGACTCATACAATCTCTCTCTGTACCAAAAGTCACTTGACAAAAATTCAACACTCATTCATGATTTTTTTAAAAAGCACTCAGTAAAATAATTGATAGACAATACTTTAATGTGATTATAAATTACACATAACCAGCTCAAAACTCAGCATCTTACTTATTAGGGTAAAACCAGAGGCATTTCCATGAAAATCAGAACAATACAAGGATATCTATTCTTTTTACTACGATTTAACATTTTACTTAAGGTAGTAAGCGGCAGTACAATTAATTAGACAAAAGAAAGCAATGAGATGCATAAGATTTGGAAGGGGAAAAAAAAGAGGTAAAGTTAACTTAGTTTTCAGGACATATATCTGGAAAATACTACAATGAATGTTCGGTATTTAACATACAGAAATCAATAATGAACATATATATGCAAATAATAATTAGAAGAGAGAATCAAAGGAAAGATCCCATTTATATTACCAAGAAAAAAATAAAATACTTAGGTGTAAATTTATTAAGAAATATGTAAAAGCTCTAGGAGGGAAACCTTGATACTCCCCCTAAAGTCAATGGATATGGTAGTGGAGCATAAACAGATACACAGACGAATACAACAGAAAATTGAGAAATAAATTTAAGTGCACATGGAAATACAACATAAAAAAGGGTGGCATTTCAAATCAGTACTGGAAAACATGGACCTTCTCATTAATGGGGGAGTCATTTGGAAAAAGGTCAAAATTGCATCCATATCTCATACGGTAGAAAAAAACCCACATGAATCAGAAATTCAAATGTAAAACAAAATGAAACCATGGGTAACTGTCTTTATAATCTGGAAGGAGGAAAATTCTTTATTGTTACTAAATTCCACCAGCAATAAAAGGTTAATAAATTTGACTACATAAACTGAAAAATAATTTACATGGGAAGGGGAAAAAAAAAGAAAAATCTCACAGAAAGGAGGAAGAATAGAAATAAGCAGGAGGGACAAAAATATAATACTGGAGACTGACTCTAGGAGGTCCATAGTCTCCAAGTAACAGGTGTATAGGAAAGAGAACAAAGACTGTCAGGGTGCCAAGCTCTTAATCATTGTGTAAACTATTCCTTTAATAATGTCTCCATTCAACCGGCATTGTTATAAGTAAATTCCGTGGGACTCTGTATTCCTAGAGCAGTTCTTCAGAGTTTGGTCCTAGGACAGTCTGCCCCAGAATGATCTGAAGTGTTTGTTAAAAACACTGAGTCTGCAAAAAAAAAAAAAAACAAAAAACAAAACAAAAAAAAACAACACTGAGTCTGCCCTTTTATTTGTCAATTATTCCCTAAGCAAGCTTTTCCATCCAGGCAGAATAGAATTTGACTTGCCCGTGAATACAATAAGCTATGTTCACTGATCTCAGACATTCAAAGGATTTATTACTTTCTACTACTAGTATAGTAAGGGTTCTTTAAAATAGTTATAAAAACCAAATTTAAAAGAACCTGAAATGTTAATCCCCTCAGCCAAGTCATCAGATTACACAGAATGGAAAAAATACAGAAACTGACATCTAACAGGTAAAACTGAGAGTAGAAGAATGAAGGGAGACAGAAAACTGGCCAAGGCAAAAGGCAACTTTTAAAATCGAGGTGATCAAATATATTGGATGGTTTTAAAAATAAAACAAAACAAGATAGCTTGGTATGCAATAAGATAACCAATGCAAAAATATTTACAACACATTTTATTTGGTTAAAAGGCTAACAGCTTTTGCTTAGTTAAAGGCTGTTAGGTTGAAGAAGTTTGCAAAAACAGGAATGTAAGTCATAGGATGACCAAAACGATTTTAGAAGTTTAATATTATAAAACAGCTATTTGACACTCATATATGTAAACATAAGAATAGATAAATTAATACTCATGGAAAGGTAGAGGGGGGAATCCTTCATCACGCATTTCATCTTTTGGATCCTTGTTACATCCCTGTTTTGACTTGGTATGGTTTCAGAATTCAAAAAAACCCCAGAATTCATAAGTTCACCTCATCTTCTCATCTTCCTGCAAAGTAAAAAAAAAAACAGAAGATGAACAATATTAACAATTCAAAGCTGATGCTTTTGCTATGAAGCATGGAGAAGAAAACTCCTGTATCATACGTCTGGAGTACTCTATAGTAGGAATTATAAAATTAGGCTTAAGAAAAATTGACCAACTTAGATTTCACACATTACCTGTTTGTATGTATTTCCTTTTTACTATGAATCTCAGCATACATAGAAGAATATATGAAAATGTACAACTTAAAACAATAAATAAATGTTGACGTACATACCACCCAGGTTAAGAAAGAAAATGTTACCACACCTCAGAAGCCTCTGGTGTTTCCCTGTCTAATCACATCCTGTCGTCCCCCAAGAAGTAACCACTATCCTGAGCTGTGTTCATCTCTTCCTTGCTTGTCTTCACATTAAAGGTGTTTTTTCCAACATATTTATTCACTTCCAAGTCTCTCCTCCATTGAAACATTAAACATTCTTATTTCACATTCTGTATCAAATTCTGCTCTCAGTTGTTTCTGCTGGTACCTGGTTCCCTTGTGTATGTAGTGTTTAGGATGAGCTGACTGTTTATTTCCCTTGGAAAATTTGTTGAGGACTGAGATGAGGGAGGGCGCTGGAAAATATGTGCATTTGCTACTGACGGACGACAGGGGGCACTACAAGTCATGGACTAATACTAAATCCTCAGCATAAGGTTTTCTGTGACTTCCAGATATTGTGAATTCCAGCTGCAATGCACTAGAGTTTGATACTGGTTACGAATTCTCAGATTTTTTTCCTCCTCAGTTCAGTACTAGAGTTATTTCCTGGGGCTTAAAAAAGCCGGTGGGAAGGTTATTTTTCGTTTGCTCTCCTACTGAGAGAGTAGCTCAACTTTATTAAAGGTGATCTACTATTAGATTTTTCATTTTAGCTAAACCCGAGGATATGCCTTCTGTCCCCACCCCCATAACGCTGTAAATCCAACACTTAGGTTCACCTAGTTTGGTAAATATGTTTGGGCAAAAGCCAGTCTGAGTCTACCTACCTTTCTGGGTTCCTGCTCTCTGATGGGAGCTTGCTTTCTTCTTGTCTAGCTAATAGATATGTCCAAGGGAGTTTTTGGTTTAGCTTTTAGCTTAGTTTTGGTTTGGCTTTTGTTTTTTAATATTTTACCTAGTAATTTCATTTTATTTTTAGTTTGATCATGCATCGGATATATCATCTTGGAAGAAGTGGAGCTGTATTTATTCTCTACATGATACCTGTTTTTTAGATGACACACATACACATGGTCCTCAATTACAAAGGTATAAATGGTAAATAGTGAGTGAGGTCTCTTTCCATCCTCTGTACTCCTCTCCAGAGCCAATGATACCATTGCCTTGAGTAATTAGATAGGGTTTAATTAATTATTTTAGAAGAGCTACCTACTCTAAATACAGCAAAATGCTGTAATGAAATAGTATTCTATTTTAGTTTAGATCTATTGGGTGTATAGATTACTTGCTAAATGGTTTAGTTGGTAAAGTTTTTAAAAGCAAATATCACAATGAAATTAGTGTAAATACCAAGAAGGATGACAACCCAGCTGCCTTTACTTTTTTTTTTTTTTAATTTTTTTGGATGGCATCCAGCAGATACATCACAGCTTCTGATAGGCCCCCAGTGAGAAGAGATCCTGAAGGATGCTGCTTGTGATGTGTTATAGAATGATCACCTCAGGCATTAAGGATAGGAGTGGAAGAAGTTAACAAGAAGGTAATACGAATGTATTTTTTAAAGTCTTTATCTTTTAAGTCCCAAAGCACTGAATATGACAAAGGGGGCCATTTTTAATAGTAAAAGTCCTAATCTACAATGATTATATGGTAATATATATAGTAATCACTACTATTACCACAGGAGTACATTGTAATTAAGATATTTATGTACCAAATAGCATAGCAACTACCTTTATGAAGCAAAAACGACAGGAGATGCACGGAGACAGAAAGGAAACAATAGTAAGAGATTCTGATATTCAATTCTCTCAGTGCAAGACAGACGAAGTGGGCAAAAAATAAGGAGATACAAGATCTAAAGGAGGGGGGTTAATCTTATGAATATATGTCAACTCTATACTCTGAAAAAAGAGGGTACATATTCTTCTCAAGTACTCACAGCATAGTTACAAAAGCAAATCCAACAGTACATTATGAAAAACATATACCATGACCAAGTAAGATTTATTCCAGGAATGCAAGTTTGGTTCAATATTAGAAAACCTATTATTGGGGAACCTGGGTGGCTCAGTGGGTTAAGGCCTGTGCCTTTGGCTCAGGTCAGGGTCCTGGGATGGAGCCCCACATCGGGCCCTCTGCTCAGCAGGGAGCCTGCTTCCCTTCCTCTCTCTCTGCCTGCTTCTCTGCCTACTTGTGATCTCTGTCAAATAAATAAAATCTTAAAAAAAAAAAAAAAGAAAGAAAGAAATAAAACCTATTATCATACATCATGACCCTGAGAGCAGATTCTCCCACAGTAAGGCCTCCATATGAGAGCGATCTCAGACAACATCTTCAATAATTAGTTTTGTGAGACACTAAGTAGAGCACCTAATTCAGTGCTCTAGTCCAGATACCTGGCCCACAGAAACAGAGGGATAAGAAATTTATAGTGAGGGGCACCTGGGTGGCTCAATGGTTTAGGCCTCTGCCTTCGGCTCAGGTCATGATCTCAGGGTCCTGGGATCAAGCCCTACATCGGGCTCTCTGCTCAGTGGGGAGTCTGCTTCCTCTCTCTCTGCCTGCCTCTCTGCCTACTTGTGATCTCTCTCTTTCTGACAGATAAATAATAAAAAAATTTAAAAAAAAAGAAATTTATAGTGAAAAAAACACAGCAGACACTACTGTAATCAACTGATCAAAGTTAACATTAGTGAGATATACTGACAGGACAAAGCCCTAACTGATGCAATGAAAAGGACATACAATTTCTGCAGAATTCTTGCAAAAATGCTTAACTGCATTATAATCATGAGAAAACATCAGACAAACCAAACTGAGGGACAGTCTACAAAATAACTGACCAATAGTCTTCAAAAGTGTGAAAGTCATAACAGGAAAGGAAGGAATGAGGAACTGTCATAGGCTGGAGGCAGCTAAGGAGAAACTTTATCTAAACAGCGAAGGATGTTAATGGACATCCAGGAGGGTTTAGTTGATAGTAATGTACCAATGCTAATTTTCTAATTTTGATCATTGTACTGTGGATAAGGTGTTAAAATTAGGGAAAGCAAGAGAAGGAAACTTTGTACTATTTTTATAACTCTTTGATAAGTCTAAAATTAGTTTAAAATAAGAAAGTTTAACTTGCAACTAAAAAAAAGACAACTCAATTGAAAAAAGGGGAAAAGATCTGAATAGACTTTTCTTTTTTCTTTTAAAAATTTTTTAAAGTAGGCTGCTTGCCAGCATGAAGCCCAATGTAGAACTTGAACTCACAACCCTGAGATCATGACCTGAGTTGAGAGTAAGAGAATTATTATATGATCTCACTCATTTGTGGAATTTAAGAAACAAAACAGAGGATCATAGGGGAAGGGAGGGAAAAATAAAACAAGATGAAATCAGAGAGGGAGACAAACCATAAGAGACCTTTAATCACAGGAAACAAACTGAGGGTTGCTGGAGGGGAGAGGGGTCGGGGGGATGGTGTAACTGGGTGAGGGACATTGAGGAGCACAAGTGATGTAATGAGCACTGGGTATATAAGACTGATGAATCACCGAACTCTACCTCTGAAATTAATAATATACTATATGTTTATTAAATTTAAAATTAAAAAAACCCAAATTAAAAAAATCAAGTGGAGGAAAAAAGAGCAAGGAAACAACTTTTCTATGATTACAACTTCGGATGTGCTTCATCTTAAATTGTGCTTGATACTCAATCGACAGTGCTTGGAATAATTGCGTGTTTAATTTTTCCCTCTGCCAAAAATGATATTGAGGTACTGTGGCCCTTTTATATAACCCAATAATTTTCTGTAATGTGAATAATTTCACCCTCTAGTTTATTTGTGTTCAGTGTAGATATTTGAGAATTCATGTTAATTATTAAGTTTAATAATATAAACAGCTAATCCATGTGGTCCATGCTACAGCTCTAGAGAAAAAAAGAATGGGACACCTAACTGACTGAGCCACCCAGCTGACCCTGAATAGACTTTTCTTTGACGAAGATAAAGAAGTGGCCAAAAGGGACATGAAAACACATTCAGTATCATCAGTCAACAGAGAAACACATATATAAATCAAAACCTTAATACGATACTACTTTACGCCCACTACTATGGTTAGAATTATCAAAAAGCCAAATGACAAAAGTGCATTGGCAAGGAAACGGGAGAAATCAGAACCCCCATACATCATTGGTGGTGATATAAAATGGTGCGGCAGCTTCGGAAAATAGTCTATATAATAGTCAAATGATTAAACAGAGTTACTACATGACTCAGGAATTCCACAAGTAGGCATATATCCAAGAGAAAGAAAACATATGGAGACACATATTTCAAGACTTTCAAATGATATTTATAGCAGCATTATTCATAATAACCAAAAGATGGAAACAACCAAATGTCTGTCAACAAGTGGATAAACAAAATGTGGTATTATCTATATGACAGAGTATTATTTGGTCCTAAAAAAAATGAAATACTGACAAATACTATGACATAGTATGACAAGGGATAAACCCAGAAACATGCTAAGCGCAAGAAGAGAGTCACAAAGACCACACATTACACGTTTCCATTCATATGAAAAATCCAGAACAGGGAAGCCTATTGAGATACGAATTAGGTGAACGGTTGCCTAGGGCTGGGGGTAAAGAAATGTTCTAAAATTGATTGTGATGATGATATGCATATCTGTGAATATACTAAAAAAACACTGAATTGTATACTTTAAATGATGAGATGTATGGTATGTGAAATTATAGCTTGACTAAACTGTTTTTTTTTTTTAAACTGCTTGATTCTTTTTTTCTTTTACCCTCCCTTGTATTGCTACAATGTATTGGTTATTGGTTTGTTTGTTTTTTTAAGACTTTATTTTTTTAGAGCAGTTTCAGGTTTATAATAATATTGAGAGGAAGGTAGAGATTTCCCATATGCCCTCTGCCCTTACCTATGCACAGCTGTCCCCACTGTTAACATTACTCATAAACATTGTATATACCTTATCAATGATGAATCTGCACTAACATATCATAATGTTAGTTGAAACCTACAGTCTATCTTAGGGTTCCCTTTTGGTGTTATACATTTTAAGGGTTTGGACAAACATAATGATATCTATCATTAGAGTATCATACAGAGTATTTTCAGTGCCCTAAAAATCCTCTGTGCTCCACCTGTTCATCTGTCTCCCCGCCCTCCGCCCCCGACAACCACTGATCATTTTTTTTACTGTCTTCATAGCTTTGCATCTTCAAGAATGTCATATAGTGGGAATTATACAGTAAGTAGCCTTCTCAGATTGACTTCTTTCACTTAGTAAAATGCATTTATGGCTCTTCCTTGTCTTTTTATGGCTTGATACCTCATTTCTTTTTAGCACTGGGTAATATTCCACTGTCTAGATATTCCTCTAACAGCTTATTCCTCCATTTACCTACTGAAGGACATCTTGGTTGCTTCCTAGTTTTGGCAATGTGAACAAAGCTGCCATAAATATCCATGTGCAGATTTTTGTGTGGACATAAGTTTTCAACCCCTTTGGGTAAATACCAAGGAGTGTGATTGCAGGATCATACAGAAAGAGTATACATTAAGTTTTCTAAGAAACCACCAAGCTGTCTTGCAAAACAGCTGTACCCTTTGCCTTTCCCACCAGCAGTGAACGAAAGCTTTTGTTCCACACCTGTTATTGTTTCAAAATACCTGTGAGAACCATCGATGCCTTTCATTTTATAAAAGAAGCAAATACAGAAACATTGCAAAGGATGAGAAAATTTAAGGATAGTTTTCTCTGTCTTTTTGAAAATATGATCCCAAATGTGATTGGGTTCTGCAAAATAGGCTACTTTATTTATCCTTTTAAAAAAGTGAGATTTTCCACAAAACACATGCAAAAGGCGTTTGGACATTTTTTGAGATAATTAAGGGAATTTGAATAGGGATTGGCTGTTAGATGACAGTAAGAAATTGCTGCTAATTCCTATAGATAATTGCTGTGATCATTGTTATCTAGTTTGTTAAAAGTTCCTTTTTAAAAAGAGATATATACAGAAGTGTTTTTGGGATTAAATGACCTAGTATTAGGAATTTGCTTTAAAAATACTACAACAAAAAAGGATAGATGAAATAAATAAGGCAAAATACTGATAACAATTAAAGCTGAAGAATGGTGGATAAGTACAGGGAGTACTAGCTTCCCTTTGTTGGGGTATGTTTTATATATTTTTTTAAAGATTTATTTATTTATTTGACATAGAGATGGAGAGAGCAGGGTAGGCATAGGGAGAAGCAAGCTCAACACTAAGCAGGGATCTCAGGACCTGGGATCACGACCTGAGCTGAAGGTAGATGCTTAACCAACTGAGCCACCCACGTGCCCCTATTTATTTTAGAGACAGAGCGAGAGAGCGAGAGCGAGAGAGAGACAACATGTGCACAAATGAGGGTGGGTAGGGCAGAGAGGGAGAGAGAGAATCTCAAGCAGAGTCCCTGCTGAGCACGGAACCCAACTCAGAGCTTGATCTCACGACCCTGAGATCATGACCTGAGCCAAAATCAAGAGTTGGACGCTTAACTGACACAGCCACCCACATGCCCTATGTTTTAAATTTTAAAAAATGAAAGAAAAAGACTATTACTCTCTAAGGCTAAAGAATAAATAAGCCACTTGGAATTCCTCTAGGGAATAAGGTAGAACACAAATGAAAATAACAGACATGGAAATAGTGATTTGCAAATCATAAGCAACAGGTTTTTTTGGTTTTTTTTTTTACAAAGTCTGTTCAAAGAATAAAAGAAGACATTTCTTCGACTCTTACCCATATCATACTGTGATTATTACATCAAAAATATATTGACATTTAAAAGTGTTCAAATACTAATTCAGACAGGAATTTCTTTTAAAGCATGTAGTTTATAATATCACACTGAGATGGACTGAATATCACTGAAATAATTACCTTTTGAGATTTGGCTCCTTTAAATCGAGAGGAGTACACCTTCTTTTTCGGCTTGGTAATTCTAAGGATGGGTTTTCTGACTTATTTTCAGCTTTAGCAGTGTTATTTGAAAGAAAACTATTTGTCAAGTCCTGTAGTGTTCTAATACCTGCAAAGAATAATTTTCACAAATATTTATATATAAGAAAAGGGACATCCTCATATGGAAATAGATATGGGATATTTAGTGGTTTGCAAATTACTGGTGACAAATTTTTAAACTTAGCAATAATCAAGTTATAATTTTAAATATTACAATGATAGCACTGAAATTATTTGTGAGTCAGTTTTTTCCCCAGCAATTAAGGGAAAATAGACTTAAAATTTGAAACAAACTACCAAAGTAGACCACAACATTTTTATTCTGAAATCACATATAGGCTGCTAAAAATTCTCCACAGGTCAACTCTACTCACAGAATCATACAAATTACCATATATTCATTCAACATTTGTATCAATTGCTTACTCCGTGAAAAGTACCATGAAGAACACAGAGATGCAAGACGGCTCACCAGTCTTCTATCATGGACTGTCAATCTAGATTTTTGTACTTTTTTTTGTTTTTGTATTCGTTTTACTTGGAATAGCCTTACTCATCAAAATCCTAGTGTTCTCCAACTTGAAAAGATATCTGTACCCTCATGTTCATAGCAGCATTATGGATAACAGCCAAGACATAGAAACAACCGAAGTGTCCGTTGATGGAGGAATGGATAAAGTTGTGGGGGGTGCGTGCATGTATGTTAATATTATTTGCATATTATTCAGCTATAAAAAAATGAGGAAATCCTACCATCTGAGATAACATATATGGACCTTGAAGGAATTATGCTAAGTGAAATAAGTCACACACAGAAAAACAAATAGAGTAGGATCTCACAACAGGAATTTAAAAAACAAAAACAAAAACAAAAAAAAAAACAAAAAAAAAACCAAAAAACAAAAACCCAAACCCAGCAAGAGATCAGACTTGTGGTTACCAGAGGCGGTGGAGGGTGGACAGAGGGGGAAAGAGAGGAAGGTAGTCAAGAGGTGTAACTTCCAGTTATAAGATAAATAAGTACTAAGGATACAATGTACAGCCTGATGACTATAGCCAACACTGCTGTGCGGTATGTAAGAGGGGAGAGGGGGCGCCTGGGTGGCTCAGTTGGTTGGGCATCCGACTCTTGATTTTGGCTCAGGTCGTGATCTCAGGATTGTGAAATCAGGCCCTGCATTGGGCTCTGCACTGGGCATGGAGCCTGCTTAAGATTCCCTCTCCCTCTGCTCCTCAATCCCACCCCACCCTCTCCAAAAAGAAACAAAAGAAAGTTAAGAGAGTAAACCCTAAGAGTTCTAATCACAGAGAGAAAACTTTTCTTTTTTCTTCTTTCTTTCTGTTTACTGTATCCATTTGACATGATGGATGGGAGCCGAACCTACCGTGGTAACCATTTCACAGAACACGTAAAGCCAACCATCATGCTGCATGCCTTAGAGTTATACAGTGATGTCAATTATTTCTCAATAAAATGGGAAAAAATTTCTAGTATTCTATATACATATATATTCAATTGTTAGTCTCCCAGTAGAAAACTTTGATTGATACGGGAATGTCCAATGTCACAAAATTTCTAATAATGAAGGACCATCCTTAGGATCCAATGTTTAAGGGGGGAAAATGGGATAACTAATGTTATATATAGCATGACTTCAGGTATAGACTTTTAAATTCCATAGAGTCAACTCTGTATGCACATGCCAGAATGCTGACTGCAGTTCTTCTGGGTGACTGTTTTTCCTCCTATTTTTTGATTTTCTACTTTCAATTTTCTGCAATGAGTATTCTTTTAAATAGCTGGGAGAAAACATAAAGTAAACATTAAAGATAGGGGCGCCTGGGTGGCTCAGTCGTTCAGCGTCTGCCTTCAGCTCAGGTCATGATCCCAGGGTCTTGGGATCGAGCCCCGCATCGGGCTCCCCGCTCGGCAGGAAGCCTGCTTCTCCCTTTCCCATTCCCTCTGCTTGTGTTCCCTCTCTCTCTCTCTCTGTGTCAAATAAATAAATAAAATCTTAAAAAAAAAAAAAAGATAAAAAATCCTACCTATCCTTTACAGCCTAAAATGCCACCCATTTCATGATGTCTTTGCAGGTTCCTCTTGTCCAAATCACTCCGCATAATCTGTTAGCACACATGTGCTTTTACATTTTACATACATCACTGTATTTCTTGTAATTTTTAGGTACATGTATTCTGAGGAAAGGATTTGGTATTACTTATTTTTTAATCCTCTAAAACACCAAATCAGACAACTTTGTGGTAAAGGCCAAATCTGTTTTTTAGGTTATAAATATCCAAGACACTACTCTGTTATCTTCCAAAAATATTAAACTTTCTTTAAATTGCTTTATATTGTTTCTACAGTTCAGGCTACACAGTTAAATGACTGTTTTTAGCTCCACAAAAATATCAATTACAACAGAAAATACTTAACTGGTTAAGTGAAAAAGGACAGCACTTTCAAAACTTGGTCACTTCAGCTAATGACCTACCTATTTCTGATTTTTGTGTTCTCTGGTTGAATTTCATCCCTTTCATCTTCTCATGTTCATCAGCACTTACTTGAAAACTCGGTGAGCTCTCCAGGGCAAAATTTTCTTTTATCATCAGATTTTTACTAGGAGAAATACTCAGAGGTACTGAATCCTCATGCATACTCTTAAAGGATGATTCTTGTATGTTAGGTGAATATACCTGAGATAAAGATTTAAATGCATCTTTGTAAAAGTCTGGCTTCATTTTGACAAGTCTCTCATTTTCTGAATTTTTTTCCTCCACAGCTTGTCCAGATTGAACTGATATTTCTTGGCCAGTGTCAGATATCACCTGCATTACCTTATGGCTATCCGAAGAAGGATAGATGGTCTTCCTTTTCTTCGATTTACATGCTGTTTTGCTTACTTTTCTGCTCTGGCACTCTCCTTCTTTTACCACTTCCACAAAAGGGGTATCTCTTTTTTCATTCAGAGTTGTAGAGCTTTCCTTCTGATTCTCCTGCAGGACCATGTGCCGCCCAGGATCAGAATCTGCTTCATTAGTAACATATTTTAAACCTGATTCTAGGAACACAGACGTGTATAAAGAATCTCGTGACCGCGAAATAGATTTGTTTTCACCTTTTGCGAAAATCTTTGCCTTGCCTGATGATTCTTTCCCAGGCTTTTTAACTAGTTTGTAAGGATTTGAAATTTGATCCCAATTTTCCTTTTCGGTACTATCAATTTCCATAGAGTATCCACTGATGACACCTTGACATTCAAGTCTCTGTTTAGATACATTTACTTGAAAAGCAAGATCTTTTGTACAGCTTTCTTGATCGCGCACGTCTTTATCATTACCCCCACGTATGTGGTACTTTTCAGAAATTATTTCTGTCTTCCGATTTATTTTCTGCTTAAGTTTCTTATTTATTTTTGATTCATTTTGCTGAGCAGGTTGTGTCTCAGTCACGGGCTTTTTCAAAGCCAACACATTCTGTGTCTCATAATCGTATAACTTTCCATTATTGTGGGTGGAAAGATAAGCTGTTTGTAATTCACTTGTGACTTCTAAGTTTTCAGAAATGGTTTCTTTACCTGTTTGGGTTAGGGAAAAGAAGTTACCTTCTTCTGGGTCATATACGCCTTTTTTTTTAAACTCATTTACTTGGTTCATTTCCACAATTATTTCTGTCTTCCGACTTACCTTCTGCCTGGGCCTCTTATTAATTTTTGATTTATTTTGCTTTGTAGGTGGCATATCAGTTACATGTTTTTTCACTCCTAAAATGTTTTGAATCTCATCATGACATAAGTTCCTAATACCTCTGCTAGAAGCATCAGCTATCTGAAACTCACTTGAGTCTTCTAGGTTTTCAGGGATGATTTCTTTTTCCTTTTGGGTTAGAGAAAGTAAGTTATCTTTTTCTGCGTCTTGTATGCTTTTGTCATCATTCTCATATACTTGGTTGATTTTAGAAATGATCTCTGTCTTCCGACACACCTTTTGCCTAAGCTTCTTATCTATTTTTGATTCATTTTGACAAGCAGGTTGCATATTTTGGATATGCTTTTCTACGCCCAGAACCTTCTGAGTCTCATAATCATATAGGCTTCCACTACCTTTGGTAGAAAGGGCAAGTGTTTGGAATTCACCTGGGCCTTTTATATTTTCAGGGATCATTTCTTTATCCTTCTGGGCTAGGAAGAAAGAACTACCCTTTTCTGGGAAATACATATTCTTGTCATTATCTAAATGATTCACTTCAGAAATTATTTCGGTCTTCCGATTTACTTTCTGCCTAAGATTCTTAAGAACTTTTGATTCATTTTGCTGAATAGGGTACACATCAGTGATCTGCTTTTGCAAATCCAACACATTTTGGATCTCACAATCACACAGGTTTCCATTATCAATGCTGGAAAGAGCAGGTTTTTGAAACTCATCTGACACTTTAAGGTTTCCAGAGATGGTTTCTTTATCCTCCTGGGTTTGGAAGGAAAAGTCACATTTTCCTGGGCCATGCACATCTTTAGCAATATCCCCATATACTTTGCTTGTTTCAGAAATTACTTCTGTTTTCCGATTTACTTTCTGTCTAAGCTTCTCATTTATTTTTGATTCATTTTGCTGGGCAGGCTGCATGTCAGTGACGTGCTTTTTCAAATCCGACATATTCTGGGCCTCATAATCACATAAACTTTCATTATCTCTGGTGGAAAGATCAGCTGTTTGAAATTCACTTGTGACTTCTAGGTTCTCAGAAGTGGTTTCTTTATTCTTTTGGTTTGAGAATAAGTTAACTTTTTCTAATTTAGGAATCACAAATGTCTGTCTAGAAGCTTTACTTTTACGATAAGGTAAAGAACTCTGACCCTCATCAAATTTATTCTCCTGCAGGAATTTATCTGAACTTTGGAAGAAAGAACATGCTTCCTCTTGCTCATTTGTTACATGTATCCTTTTCTTTCTTTTATTACACTGTATACTTTGTCTGTCGTCTTGATTAAAGCCATTATGAAGGGTTACTTTCTTCAGTATGTTCAAATGAGTCAGCTGCTCAGTATCGAAAATAAAATTTGGATCTTCTGACTCCCCTGCGCCATTCAAGAAAACTGATCTTTTTCCTGGTCCATTTTCAACCTTTTCCTCAATACTGATACCTGAACTATTTTTAAATTGTCTCTTTGATCTTTCTCTCTTTTTGTCAGAGCTTGAATCTTTCACTTTTCTGAACGTTTTGATTCCACATTCATTTGATTTTTTATTGCTTTTATTTCTAGTCCCTGTTGAAACTGTAATAATTTTGCTTCCTTCACTAGCAGTTAAATCCATGTCAGCATCATACACAGTTTTCTGCAACGGAAAGTCATCACTGCCCTGAAATGGAGGCCTGTCCTCTGCAGTAGGTTCACTTGTAGACTCAGAGGAGTCAGGAAGGCACTGCACGTTTCCTTGCATTTTAATATTCTTTGCATTGGTATGATCATTTATTTCATTATTCCAATTTAATTCTGGACTTGAAATGTGTTGTTGACCTAAGTCTGTCCTATGAGAACTGTCAACAGAAGGATTAGTTGATTCCTGAGATGATAGACGTTTTTTCCTTTCTGTCACATTACTGAGAGATAGCTCCTCCTTTCTGTGACTGACTGACTGGACATTTTTCATCTCACTCACTGGAGAACTCATGGAATTTTGGTCTGAGTGGAAATGACTTTCTATAAAATAAAGGGGAAGAAAATTCAGAAATAAGCAATGACGAGGAATTTTTTATTTTAAACAAGTAAGATTAAAATAATCAAGCTGTTTCACAGAAAGGATTCTGACAATGTGTACTCTGTTCAGATACTTAGAATCTACACTGATAAAAATAAGGTAGAATGATCAGAATATTCATAAGTCACATTTTACATTTGTATCTGTGGAAAATACATACTGAGAATTTACTGTTTTGGTCCCAACAGCAAGTATAGCTGACAGTAGAGCCATTAATATGTATTTCTAAAGTGGGAGGAGGCCAGCAAATGAACCCAAATAATACTGATGACTCTGATAAGGATTACTAGTGAAAGGCTTTGATAGTAAACTATCAGAAGTTTATATAAATTATATATACACACATACATTTTTATAAAAGAAAAACAATTCTAAGCTCTAAATGAAATATACTTACAGTTCCATAATCCAATTTGCAAATCTATGATAAACACACCAGCCAGACTCCCCTGAAGGATTATTATTTTAGAAATAACCATGTAAATAAAACATAAGTGTCATCATTTTCTCTGGTTCAACCATTATACAGGCTCAAGTTTTTGCTTTGGCTCTGGTCTTGAAAAAGTCACAAAATCCATTTAGGCCCCTAGTTTTGTTGTTTATGAAAAGGAAAAAGGATGAAACTAAATAAATATATGGTATCTTCCAATTTGTAAGCTAATAAGATACCAAGAAAAGCTCTTCAGGCTGACTCCTTTCTAAATATTGCTTGCAGAATAACAGCATAGACCACTGTGGATCAGACATTTGTCAGCACGTTTACTTAAAAATTAAATTTTTTACCAGCAGTTTTAAATAGTGGAATTTAGTAGATCTATAACAGAAGAGAGCTAACTTATTAAGTGTTTATACACCATGGGCCTCAAGAAGAAGTCTGATGAATGTGACTTTTTAATACTGATATTCAAAATTAATTTTAAAAATTTCACCCTTGGGAAGCATATCAACAATAGAAAAAGTACACCTGAATCATCTAAACCACACATATCATGATTATTTTAAGAAATAACAATTTGAAATTATACTGACTTGATAAAGGTTGTCCTGATACCAAAGAGGGAACATCAGGTGGTATCTTTGCTAGAATACTGTCATCATGTTGCATTTCCTCTTTATCATCATCATCATCATCATCATCATCATCATTTGAAGTTAATGGAACTCTAAGGGCAAGTGGAAATGAATGAGGAATTTTATATTTTATAAAAATTATTTAGAAAACTACACGGATAGTTCTTTTTATATTCCATTTATTTAAGATCCAACTACAAACCCACTCTGGTATCTTTTCATATTCAATTAAGACAATTATAGGTAGGAAAGAGATAGTTTCTGATAGCATGGGACCTGAAATAAAACAGGAATGCTTCTTACCCCGATAACCCCAGTGGCCTCAAAAAGGGGCTAATCACTGGTTGGCCTATTAGGATAATAGTACTAATGAAATGAATAAACTTCAAACATACTTACAAATACTCATATATAATACTTAGAACTTTCATACAATTAGTTCTGTGGAATACCCAAAACTCTTTCTCTAGTTTCAAACAAGTATAATTGTATGTAAAGTTACATGTGAATTAAAGTTTGCTGTTTCCAAAAGGCATCCATGGAAACTAAAGCCATATTCCTAAAGGAGGTAAATCTACTCTAAACTAAAATGGGGGGGTAGATAGAGAAACCCACAGAAATAATTACATAAACTGACCTTGAATTCAAAGAATGAGGGTTAATATTCCTGAATGTTAAAGATTTTGCCGTGAATGCCAAACATATCACAGATATTTAAAAATTATTGATAATGATAATAATAAATATTGACAAATATTTGTTAAAAATTTAAAGGCAACTATTAGTAGAATAGCCATTGGGAGGAAATTTCTCTGCCACTTGAAACAAATTAACAAAAATAAACAGGAGAGAGGTTTTGTTTCTAGTAATGGACAAATAGCTATTTTTGAATCAACCCTATCAAACATAATGATGATAAATTCTGGATAAAATATTTTAAAAAATTATCTGAAGTAACTGAAGAGTAAACAAAAAGCAAGTAGATAATGAAGAGGGGGGTTAATACTTTAAAAAAGATGAATTTACAACCTCAGCCATGCCACATTTTTAAAAAGTTAGAAACCTATATTCTTGTTGATTCAAGGTAAGAATTAAGGACAATTAAAACAGCTGCAGGGGGCGCCTGGGTGGCTCAGTGGGTTAAACCCTCTGCCTTAGGCTCAGGTCACGATCCCAGGGTCCTGGGATCGAGCCCCGCATCGGGCTCTCTGCTCGGCGGGGAGCCTGCTTCCTCCTCTCTCTCTACCTGCCTCTCTGCCTACTTGTGATCTCTGTTTGTCAAATAGATAAATAAAATCTTAAAACAAACAAATAAAAACAGCTGCAGAAGGGTGTTTGATGGGGGAAATAACAGGAGAGGTAGAGAGGGGAACCCCAAATTTTGTGTGTAAACTCCCCCACTGCTCCCCCAATCTCTGGCTGACCCATAGATCACATATATGGGAGGAAGATTCCAACCAGCCCAGCTAAGGATAAAAAACCCAAAATGAGATTTCATATGTTGCCCCTTATAGGGAAATAAAAAGCTTGAGTTCAGACAAGGCAACTGCCTACTAAAATAAAAACATCAGGGGTGCCTGGGTAGCTCAGGTCATGATCTCAGGGTACTGGGATCAAACTCTGCATAGGGATCCCTGCTCAGCAGGGATTCTGCTTCTCCCTTTTTCTCTGCTTCTCTCCCTGCTTGTGTGCTCTCTTTCTCACTTTCTGTGTCAAATCAATAAATAAAATCCTAAATTAAAAAAAATAATAAAATAAAAATCTTTAAATAGATAAATAATAAATTAATAAATAAAAACACTAAACTTGGAGGAACACACCTGAACTCAGATTTTTTACAGCATACACTCACAATAAATCCAGGACACAATCCAATATTATTCAAAATATAAAGTGATAGGAAAAAGTGTTCAAACTCTAGAGAAAAAGATAACCAAAAGAGAATGCTCCTGATATAAAATGCTCACGAAAATATGCTCAATATGAAGATATTGAGCATGAAAGTATTCTCACTATCTTTAATCATCAGGGAAATCCAAATCAAAACCACAATGAAATACCACTTCATACCAATGAGATGGCTATAATCAAAAGGGTAGATAGTAACAAGTGTTGGTGAGGATGCAAAGAAACTGGGACCCTAACACTTTGCTGATGGAAATGTAAAACAATGCAACAGCTTTGGAAAACAATTTGGTGGTTCCTCCCAAAGTTAAACATACAGTTCTACGACTCAGCAGCTCTACTTGTAGGCTTAAACTGAAAACTATGTCCACAAAAGCTTGTACACGAATGTTCACAGCACCAATACTCATAATAGCCAAAAGTAAAATAGCACAAATGTTAATTAACCAATGAATGGATAAGCAAAATATGGTACAGGCAAATGAGAAAATTATTCAGTCATATAAAGGAATGAAGTGCTAATACATGCTACAAAATGGACAAAACTTGAAAATGTTACGCTAAGTGAAGGAAACCATACACAAAAGGCCACATATTGTGTGATTCCATTCATACGGAATGTCCAAAATAGGGAAAGTCACACAGACAGAGAACAGATTAGTGACTGCCAAGGGATGGAGAAGAGGAGAATGGGAAGTGACTGCAAATGAACATAGGCTTTCTTTCTGAAGTGATGGAAATATTCTGGAATTAGTGGTGAGGACTGTACAATTTTATGACTATATTGAAATCCACTGTACACTTTAAAAAGATGCACTTCATGTTATGACAAATTTTGTTATGTGAATTATACCTCAAATTTAAAAAATAAGTGGAAGAAAATAAAGAGCAGACACCAATGAAAGATGAAATGGAACAGAAACTGACAATACTACAGCTATCTTGATAAATTAAAAAAAAAAGGAGATACAAATTACCACTATCAGGGATGAGAGAAAGAACCTCACTACAGATGTGACAGGGATAAGAATAATAAGGGCATATTAACTTTATATACCAATAAACATGACTGCAAGAAATGGATGATTTTCTGGAAAAATAGATATTTTCTAAATTGACTGAAAAGAAAGAGAAAATCTGAAAAGCCCCGTATTTATTTAAGAAATCAAATTAACAATTAAAAACTCAGGTCCACATTATTTTCTTGTTAATTCTTTCAAACACATAAGAAAGAAATACCAGTTGCACAAACTCTTTCAAAAAATGCATCAAGGGGGAGGAGTCAAGATGGCGGAGAAGTAGCAGGCTGAGACTACCTCAGGTAGCAGGAGATCAGCTAGATAGCTTATCTAAAGATTGCAAACACCTACAAATCCAATGGGAGATCGAAGAGAAGAAGAACAGCAACTCTAGAAACAGAAAATCAACCACTTTCTGAAAGGTAGAACTGGCGGAGAAGTGAATCCAAAGCGACGGGAAGATAGACCACGGGGGGAGGGGCCGGCTCCCCGCAAGCGGCGGAGCAACAGAGCACAAAATCGGGACTTTTAAAAGTCTGTTCTGCTGAGGAACATCGCTCCAGAGGCTAAACCGGGGTGAAGCCCATGCGGGGTCAGCGTGGCCTCAGGTCCCGCAGGGTCACAGAAGGATCGGGGGTAGGGCACCTGGGTGGCTCAGTGGGTTAACCATTGCCTTCGGCTCGGGTCATGATCTCAGGGTCCTGGGATCGAGCCCTATATCGGGCTCTCTGCTCAGCAGGGAGCCTGCTTCCCCCCACCTCTCTCTCTCTCTGCCTGCCTCTCTGCCTACTTGTGATCTCTCTCTGTCAAATAAATAAATAAAATCTTTAAAAAAAGAAAAAAAAGAAGGATCGGGGTGTCTGAGTGTCGCAGAGCTTACAGGTATTAGAACGGGGAAGCCGGCTACAGAGACAGAGCCGAGGAGTGAGCTCTAACCTCGGGGTTACCTTGAACTGGTCGCAGGCTCGGTCCGCTCGGAGCGCGGCCGGAGGCCAGGGTGACGGGAGTCATTGGGCGCTGTTCTCTGAGGGCGCATTGAGGAGTGGGGCCCCGGGCTCTCGGCTCCTCCGGGCCGGACACCGGGAGGCCGCCATCTTTATTCCCGCCCTCTGGACTCTACGGAAAGTGCTCAGGGGACAAAAGCTCCCGAAAGCAAACCCGAGCGGATTACTCAGCCCGGCCCCAGGTAAGGGTGGTGCAACTCCCCCCGGGGCAAAGACGCTTGAGAATCACTACAACAGGCCCCTCCCCCAGAAGATCAACAAGAAATCCAGCCAGGACCAAGTTCACCTACCAAGGAGTGCAGGTTCAATACCAAGGAGAGCAGCGGAATTCCAGAGGAGGAGAAAGCAAAGCCGGAACTCATGGCTTTCTCCCCATGATTCTTTAGCCTTGCAGTTAATTTTTTTTTTTCCCTTTACAATTTTTTTCCTCTTCTTCTGCTGAATTTTTTAAACTTTTACGCCTTTCTTTTTTAACGTTTTTTAACTAGTTTATCTAATATATATATATTTTTTCCTTTTTATATTTTTTCTTTATTTTATTTTTTTTTCTTTCTGAACCTCTTTTATCCCCTTTCTCCCCCCTCACGATTTGGGATCTCTTCTGATTTGGCTAAAGCATATTTTCATGGGGTTGTTGCCACCCTTCTAGTATTTTACTTGCTCCTTCATATACTCTTATCTGGACAAAATGACAAGGCGGAAAAATTCACCACAAAAAAAAGAACAAGAGGCAGTACCAAAAGCTAGGGACCTAATCAAAACAGACATTGGTAGTATGTCAGCTCTAGAGTTCAGAATGATGATTCTCAAGGTTCTAGCCGGGCTCGAAAAAGGCATGGAAGATATTAGAGAAACCCTCTCGGGAGAGATAAAAGCCCTTTCTGGAGAAATAAAAGAACTAAAATCTAACCAAGTAGAAATCAAAAAAGCTATTAATGAGGTGCAATAAAAAATGGAGGCTCTCACTGCTAGGATAAATGAGGCAGAAGAAAGAATTAGCGATATAGAAGACCAAATGACAGAGAATAAAGAACCTGAGCAAAAGAGGGACAAACAGCTACTGGACCACGAGGGGAGAATTCAAGAGATAAGTGACACCGTAAGACGAAACAACATTAGAATAATTGGGATTCCAGAAGAAGAGGAAACAGAGAGGGGAGCAGA